TCTAAATGCGTCAGTCACCAAACGATCTTGAATTGTTTGCATGCTCTGTGAGTCGTCACCAAGTAAGGCGGTGTCATCAGCATAATCTAAGTCAGTTGCTCGCTCGCCCGGTAGCAGCTGCAGACCAAAATTTTGTTAACCTTCAAGTACTCTCGATAGGACGTCTTTAATCATGAAATTGTACTGGAAACGGGACATAGGGCAACCCTGACGTACACCGATATTGACAGCGAAGGACGACGAAAGCCTGCCATAGACCCTCACTCTGTCGGAGATGTGGACGTAGAGTGCATGTATGATAGCAGTGTACCTCTCTGTGATCCCGATCTTTAGCAAGCAACGCCTTAACACAAGTCGGTCAACGGAGTCAAATACAGCAGGGATGTCTACGAATGCAACAGTGATAGGCCTCTGGTAGAGGTGGCGGTGTTCAAGCTTTTGGCGGACCGTGAATATTTGATCCACACACTCACAACCAGGGCGGAAGCCAGCTTGTTCTTCCCTGCACTGGAATTCATGAATAAGGGATCGAATGGATGCCAATAGCTTGGAGGCAACCGAAATGAGATTAATCCCCTTGTGAGTGCTACATGATGTGCGAGCATCCTTCTTACAAATCGAGACAGTAACTGATTCCCCCTTTTTCAGTCCAGCTCCTGGAGAACAATGACGTTAGCTAGGTGATGATAACTGAGCCTCCATACTTGGACAGCTCCTAGGGAGGTTCATCTGAGCCGGCGAACTTGAGTCGTCTTAAGTGTCGAATCGCAAGGAAAACTTCCCCTTCGGTGGGCGGATCAGGGGTGACGACCCAAGGAGGGCAGCTAGGTCCTCAGGGCATACAAGAGAACGGTGAGGGCCAATTAAATGAAAATGTTCGGCCCATCGATTCAAGCGTCTCTGTAGGTGGACAATCGACAATCCATCTGCTTCGCGGATCCTTTCACTGACACCAGGCTTTCCGTGGCCAGTGGAGTGAATGAGTTGGAAGAGCTTGCTAGTATTGCCGGAGAGAAAAGCGACCTCCATTTCCGAAGCATGTTGAGACCACCATGCTTCAGAATCACCACGTACGCCCACTTCATTATGATTAGATTGCGCTGGGATATTTCTGTGGCGGCCAGCTAGATCCAAGTAGCGCGTGGAGATCCAGATTTACATAGGGTGCTGAGTAATAGTTTTCTTCATGAACGTCCAGTGTTCTTTAATGTCTTGCGGTGGGTATCAGCTGAGTGTATCGGTCAGTGAAGAGTGATAGTTCTGCTGAACGGAGAGAGTAGATAGTTTGTTTGTATTCATCTTGCAATGCTTCGTTTTCGGGGCCCTCCGAAACTCAAGCAGGTGTTCGCGCAGACACGAACATGATCTGAGTCAAAAAATCTGGGTCAGATTGATCTGCAATCGTTTACACTACCCCGCCGTCTGTAACTGCTTGTAATGCGATCACTCTGATACTATGATCGAGACGCATAAGAGAGTCACCAAGTAGCTGAACATCTCGAGTACATGAAGCGGGTGATCGAAAGAAACACGATTGTCTTCGCACACTGTGAACAGTCTCTGTATTATCTGAGCGGCTTTCATCGAGCGCATGGTGACCACTGTGGTGCTTTTCTGCACGATAACAGACGGCCAACCCGTGCGTTATAAGTTGTTCAAAAAATCAACTGCCTGAGTCGTTCTATCAGGGTCTGTGGAATCGAAGACGACTCCAGTAACTGTATAGGAAAAGCTCCTGACGCTTTTGCTAACCTTCGCCACTTATGGCGCCGGCATGACATCACTCTCTCCCTGAAGGGAAGAGTGTACAATGCAGCCATACGTTCGGCCCTACTGTTCTGTTGTGAAACCTGGCCCATCAGCTCGACAGACGTAAAGAGGCTAGTTGCGTTCGACTACCGGTACGTTCACAGTTTGAATCACATCTGGTGGGAACTTTGCGTGAGCAATGAGTGTGTTCTGCATCTTGCTTACGGCATAGGAAGAGCGAGCGCACCTCTCAGCACTGTTATGTAACGCAGCAGTCTCTTATATTTGGGCCACGTTTTGCGCATGCCAGCACACCAACTCCCGCGTTGTGCATTGTTTGCGCGCTGGGGGTGTGGATGGAAGAAGAGGAAGGGAGGCCAACGGACGATATGATCAAGTGGAATGAAGGCTCTTATTTTGTAGTTAATCTCAGTTAAAGCATCGGCTCCCTGTTTGGGGCCCGAATGACTATGATCACGTTTGGTTGGTTACACTTGTTGACATGGCTAAGTGCTGACCTCAGTGGCGTTTGTGTTGTGAGTTTTCTTGTCCCCTTCCTGTTTAGCCCCCCCCCCCAAGCATGGTCTCATTTCCTGTGCATAATATACTCCTCCTGGCTACTAGTTCCCCGGAACGATGTCTATCCCTTACTGGTGACCCAGTTGGCGTGCCTGTGTTGCGTATTTTTAATGCGACACAATAGCTGTAGTGTTTTCCACCTATAGTTAACGTATATGATGATGAGGAATGATGACTGCTTGTTAAACACCGTAAGCCTATTGCGATCCTCGGCTTGTTTACTGTATCTTTTTAAGATCCCGCTGGCCTGCGTAGGTATCTGCATGTTCGTGTGGTGTGCAGTACTGTTGTATGATCTGCTTTTTGTTTATAGTTTAGCTATGGCAGTATTCGTGTAAGAAGGTACAGAAATGGCTGTTTTTTCCGTGCTGCTTATGGAGTGTTGACCGCATTTGAGTGAGCACAATACAAGTGCAACTGACGTCTGTTCTTTGCTGTTTCTAAACGCATTACTTTTTCTGCACTGAATTACCCATTATTTTGCATCTCTCATCCTCGCGACAACTTCCCTCCTACAGAAACCGTGCCGAAGCAGTCCGACACCATCCCTTTGACTTGTCATCCTAGATTGGTGGTCCTAGGCTGTGTCAAGGTCTGCTTGCGCTCCTCATTTGATTCCAGCCGCTTATGGACCGAAGCTACTTGTAGTTTGTCACCGGCACTTCCAGCCAACTACCACTCTGTTTTCTGGTGGGGTTGTTATTCCACTCTTGTTTATCGCTGGATTCTTAGTATATATATTGTATTTTATTTAACACTTGCCCAATAAACATTTGTCAGTGCCACAACACATGAATAGCAATAACAAAATAGAGACTGACTAAGAGGACTGGAATCAAGGTTCCATGTGTTGTGTGGGCATTGAGCTTCCCGGTTGCCCAGGCCGAGGAAGAGGGTTGACTTAAGGGACCCCACCCCGAGCCTTTGGTCTAAAGACCTGACCCGCAAGGCAGCGGGGTGATTCACGAAGACCGTTGACAGCCCAGTGGCTCATTCGCCTTATTTGTGTTCGAAAGCAGTCCACAGATAAGCCGGTGGCCAGCGAGGTTGTTCATCCGCCCTCCGTTAGTGTTGCACAGACGTAGGTCCAAGCGTTGCAGTCTGAGTCCTTTTCCACTTATGCTCTTCATCATTTGCTCCTTTCACTACGTATTGTCTCCATGGTTAGTCTTCATTCTTGTTTTCGTTCAAAACTGCTAGCCAGTACAGTCACGCTGTGAATCACTGGAAGCGCCAAGGTGGTTCACCAAGCAACATTGGTTTGTGTCTATCTACCGTCTTGTTGTAGAGAGAACTATCTTCCCCACAGTGACCCTGCTTCTAGTATCTTAACGGCACAAGAGGCTGATACAGTTATATGGCATGAATGAATGTCACACTGTGAAGTTTGCGGAGTCTGCTGTTCATCTTTGCAGCAGTTACCTCATTGCAAACTCGTAACTGAATCAACTAGGCTCTCAGTGGATTGAATCGGCTCATTCTTGTATCCACTTCTAATGCTCACAATTTAGTGTCCAAATTCCTTGTCCACCATATGATAATCGGCATCTCGATAGAAGCTGGGATCACAAGACCGCAGTCGGTGACCTACTGGGACGTAGTGTAGATAATGCGATGTGTTCGTCACACCCAGCATCCGTTGCCATTACTTTTCTTCCATCCACTAGCCTGTATAACCAACCGTTCGCATCAGACACGACTGTTTTGTTACCAAGGTCCGTATTATGCTCGCGTTGATCCCCATTCCCAGTCTACGGCATACGTACAGCAACGGCTGCCATCGTCCAGTATCCGAACCGTGAGGAAGCTATCAACTAGGATCATGGAACATGTTCCACGGAATTTAGTAATGAGTGGTCCTCAGTTTCCTGTCAGTTCGATCACCCAGCATCATTTTGATTGCACCTTGTACGAGAACCATAGTAACGCATTTTAGTTTACCAACAGGCAGCATACTCTGAATTTGCCGGCCCCTAGTTTTTAGGATCACAAGCCTGCTTTGTAATCCGAGGGCGCGGGTTCGAGCCTGTATAGGGACCGGACGACCATCGTAGTATCCTTAGCCCACGTGCGACTGGTTGGGATTGTGCGGCACCGAAGCGTCGGTACCTCGTACCGGCGTACTGATGATACTCCGAATTTGCCACGATTTGCTAAGGCTGCCGCCATTCGGCGACTGGAGACAAACCTCTGCAAACAGCCCACTTTGTGGCCAGGCTTACTTTGTCCTGCTAGGGCGATTTTCTTTTCATTATAGGCGGTAACCTTAAATTTCTCAGCGTCCTATTGATTCTCCCATTGATCCGTTTCCATTAGCATTCCTATCTTTTTCTTAGTGTTTATCTGTAAGCGGCTGATTGAGAAGACACGAAATAATCTGAATTCAGATTATTCCGCTCAAATCTTGTTCGTTCTCGCTATCTTAAAGTTTTTGTAGGGAAATGCCCCACACTGACAACGATTCGCTTCTCTACTGACAGTGGCCATGTCTACCACTGCATTCAGTACAACTTCTTCATTTGTCTTGCGTGCCTGGTCTTTATTATCAGTTTGTCATCTCTTGCAAATCCTCGGTAAACAATGTACTTTTGACATGGAAGCTTTTGCACTTCTTTTAGTTCTTTTTACGCGCTCGTTCTCACTATTTCCATTTTATACATTGCCTTGCACAGCTAATGCCATCCTTGTCATCTCGATGCTCTGCTCAAGCGTTGGCCACTGAATGGCTCGAACGTAATTACGAGGCGAACCGGATCTCCTTGGTGGAGTATCGCACAAGACTTCAGGAACTGAGGCGAGCTGTTCGCCTGGGTGTCGATTCCGCATCTACTTGCACCGATGGTAAGCCTAGTCTTCGATTTCTATATACTTCATTTACTGATGAGATCGTCTACTGTCTGCTGCTCGATCTAATCGCTAATCTACCTCGGGGAGCTAATAGCGTCACTCTACGCCATGCAACTGCCACTAACCATGTTGGCTTTCTACAAGCACTATCCACCTATGGCTGCATAGTTCCTGGGTCGGTTGGGTATCGCTTCGCGGTTGCCAGTTTTTGACGTGGCCACGAATCAATTGAATTGCTTAGTGAATCGTGCGGATTGTTTCCTTACTTGCTATTATCATCATCATTCCTTCATTGCTTGAGCTGGGAAATGGCTCGATTGTTGTACCGTAATTCAACTAATTAGGCGGTCGCAAAATGGAGGCATTACGCAAGCAAATAGCATAATAGGCAATGCTGCGCTTTACTTCTATCGCACATCGAGAGTGATATCGTGTCTGGGATGAGGACCAACAAACAGCTCACCTGTTGATCGCTTCTCCGAGCTTGATAAACTGATCGCATACGTTTCACCATCATGCGAGGTGACATCTTCAATGCGGTGATATGCAGTATTCAATCCTACATCATAAAAATATATGGTTGGCGGCATCCGGTTCCGGATTTGCCTGTCATTGCGGCCTCCACCGGGACAACCACAGGGACCATGGGTGGCTTGCGCTGCACAATCCACAAACATCTTGCCCAATATAAGTTCGAAAGGGGCATGTGGTTGGAAGCCACCTTTCATTGACCGAGCCGACCCACACTCTTCCAAGTTGTACAACAGCAGCATTCCCGTTTATGTCTGTAGGGAATCATGCATACCAGACGTACCCAGGACGGCGGATAACCCGTAATCCACTCCGCGCTGGATGGAACCACTTTTTGAGCCTAGCACGGCCACGAAGACCGTGCATCCCGTATCCACAAGCAATGATCAACTGTCTCCTATGGCCAATATTATCGAGGTAGCTATTTTCGTCAACTAGACACCTTGTCAACATTCACATCAAACACAGCCACAGCGTGGGTCTCAGCCAGCCAACACACAATAGGAAAGCATTTAGTTACGCAAGTTGGACAGTAACTGTGCGCCACAGTGGCGGAACACGGCAACTCAAAATCTGTATTGATGCATATCCATCGTAAGGACGATCATGGCCGGTGGCCGAGTGGTTTGCACGTTTGCTTTGCAACCATAAGGTCACCGGTTCGAATCCGCGTAGGGGTGGGCGTCCTCGCGGTATACTCAGCCCACGCGCGACTGGTGGTGGTCGCGCGGCAGCGAAGCGCCGTTACGGCGTGCAGCTGACACATTATTTATTTCATTATTCATTTATTACGCTCAAAAGGGACAGGGAATATACGGAGGATTCACAGCACTGGGCAAGTAAACTAAGATGAATTTAACCACATCTGGTGCAGTGAGGTGAAAAAGCATAAAATTTGTAACATTAACCTTAGCATGAGGTCAATGCCAAGTGGTGCAGCACATGTATCAACTCAGGTCCACTGTGCTACAATACTTCTGACGGTATCTCGTCGACTCCGCGCACTTACCTTTTCGCAGCCGGGTAAGTGTGCTCTGAGTTTCAAGCACTGTCGGTGTGTCGGCAAATCACATCTTCATCTCCTATTGTTGCAGCCCTTGCAGGCCACTCACTATCTGAACGGTTGTCCAAGCTATGCTCGTAGGGTTTTCACCAGATGTTCATTGTGTCTGCCGTCTGTTTGCATGCAGCGCCTGAACTAGCATCTACCAGCCTCAACAACAGTACATCAGCCATTTGAACTGATGCTTCGTTGCCATACAACCATGATGACCTGTGAAATAAAGACTAATAATGAGAGAAGGGGGACTTACCTGAAAACCTTACTGTTCTAAACAGACATTCAGGGTCAATGCGCCTACACCTTGTGTAGACCACATACCATCACAAACAACTCGCTGTCGTGCGAAGATAAGGCGGCATCGGCGAGACAGCTTCCTTTCGTCATAATCAGCCATTACTCCTTAGATAACAACACTAAACACACTTTAAGCAGGCAATTCGATTAGGAGACGGCAGCAGACGCACCACTGGTGTCAGTTGTGAGCCATGTCCTGTAAAGTCTCGAGCAAAGCACAAGGTGAGTCACGTGGACTCCAACCCGGAAGGCGAGACGGACCGAAGGCACCCAGTTTGGTCGTCAGTGACTTCATTTCCCGCTGCCACGTCAACTTCTGTCCATCTCGGGCCTTGCGCCACCCTACACCTGGCAGACTAAGCAAGGCCCTCCTAGGTAAGCGGTGACCAGGCATACGGAGCACGTGCCCGAGCCAACGCAACTTATTCAGTGCTATCTGTTGTTCTAGGGAGCTAACATGATTATCACCACCTAGTACTGGCCTACACACATCATCGTTGCGGACACGCTGATGCCATCCGACACCGGCAGTGCTTCGCAGACAACGATGATCAAAGACTTGAAGGCGCCTCAGCTCTCCAGACCGAAGCGGCCAAGTCTCACTACCATAGAACAGAACGGCCCTCACTGTGGCCTTGTATACACGGCCTTTCAGACGGAGGGAAACTCCCTTCTGTCGCCAAAGATGACGCAGGTTCAAGAAGGCAACTTTGGCTTTTGCAATGCGTAAGCTGACGTCAGTTTCTATGCGCCCATCATTGCTGATGCAGCTGCCAAGATAAGTGAAATGATCAACCACCTCAAGTTCCTTGTTAGCATGCGTCAAGGGGTCATCAAGTGGCTGGTGGTCCTACAGTAACACTGCACTTTGACCGTGCGAAGTGCATACCAAATAATGGGACCACTCTGGACAGGCTATTCAGGGTTGATTGTGCCGCCTCAACATTGTCGAAAAGCAAGACGATATCGTACGCATAATGAAGATCAACTTATCTTTTACCAGGCAATACTTCAACGCCTACATCATGAGATTCCGCAAGGGAACACTCCATGATAGAATCCACGACGAAATTGAACAAAAACGGGGAAATCGGACAACCCTGACGAATACCACTTGTGGTCGGAAAATTATCCGATAGTGCACCGTAGACCCTGACGCGACCTGCAGATTTCCAGTATAAAACACGTAATATGTTCACACATTTCGTGGGAACACCTTTTCGCGCAAGTAATTCGAACAGAATCGATCGATCGACAGAATCGAACGCACTCTTGAAATCGAGGAACACAGCTATTGTCGGTCTGCGGTACGCGTGGCACTGCTCTAGCACTTGTCGTAAAGTGAATATGTGGTCTATACATCCACGTCCTGGGCGGAAACCGGTCTGCTCTTCCCTAACCCGAGATTCCCGTTCCACAATGAGGCGATGAATGAGAATCGGGACCAGTAATTTTGTCACAACTGGCGTTAGGCCAATACCGCTGTGATTAGAACAGTCTGTGCGACTGCCCTTTTTGTATATTGCCACTATAATCGATGCGCTCCAATTAGCCGGGACAGTCTCTTCTTTCCACATTCGTTCGAATAGGGAGGTCAGTGCTTTGCAGTGGACCTCCATTCTTCAATCGTGCAGGTGGGAGAGAATCCGGCACGAAAACGATTGAGGGCTGTGATCGCGTTTCGGACCTGGGCATCTGACGGAGGCTCTAAACTAACCGTCCATGGCTCGTTCTGCATCACCTGAGTAGGAAGGGGTCCTTGAGCAGGAGGCCAGTTGAACTGATATTGAAAGTGTTCCGCTTAAGGAGCCATACGGCGCACCTTATTGTGTATCAGTGCACACGCGCTGTCTCTGCTTATCTCAATGGCGTCTGGTTTCTGGGACCAGTTGTGCGGATCAGCTGGGAGAGCTTCCGGTAATTGCCTACTGCTGCTGCCTGCTTCCTTTCTTGAGCCCTACTGGTCCACCAGGCTTCCTTGTCAGCACGCAAACTCCGCTTTAGTTCACGTCTAATAGCCCGTCTGGTCACATTGTGTTCAGAGCCAGCCGGGAGGTTTCTTCTGTTCCAACAGGTGGCCGAGTGGTCTACGCGTTTGTTTTGCAACCATAACGTCGCCGGTTCGAATCCGCCTAGGGGTGGGCGTCCTCGCGTTATACTCAGCCTGCGCGCGACTGCTGGTTGTCGCGCGGCAGCGAAGCGTCGTTACGGCGTACAGCTGGCACATTATTATTGTTTATATTATTATTCACCGACCTTTCTTACATCCAGTGATTGGTGCGGTGACGATTGCTAGTGCCTCAGTCACATTCTTCTGCCTCGTGCGTAGCGGCCGAGATTCTACTCCACTGATGTTGCGTGTCATTACAACGAGACAGCGAAAGGTCGGTATGCAGTGCGTCTTGATAATCTTTCCTGACTGATGGCTGAGACAATTTCTCAGTTGCAAATCTGAGGACACGGTTGGTGCGCCTCCCGGTAAAGTTCATGGAGGAACGACAGCGTACCAAGGCATGATCAGAGTCGACACAGGTACTCCAGTACGAGCGGCAATCCAGAATGGAACCGCGCCACCTGTAACTTATGGCTATGTGGTCAATTAGGGTCCATCGTTGTCCAGCTACCGGAGGACGCCAAGTGACACTTCGGCGCCCACTGTGTCTAAAAGCAGTGCTAGTAAGAAACAACTGGTGCTCCGCACACAGTTACAGTAGACGCTCGTCGTTGTCAGTCCGTTCGGAGTTAAGCCCATAATTACCACCCAGCTGAGCTTCTGAAGAGCTTAGACGCCCTACTTGTGCGTTCATATCCCCTGCAGGTACTAGAATCTCTGAACTAGTAACACTGCGTAGTAGCGCGTTCAGTTCGTGATAGAAGGTGTCCTTGACTGCATTAGAACTGCAGTCGGTGGGAGCATAAACGGAAATCACAAACAAACAGCGTTTTTTTACTACCTCGTGAATCAACCTTAGCTGATGTCGTCAAACGGGCTGCACATAAACGGCTGTTCACCGGAATCCAATCAATCAACGGTGACTCAGCCTTGGAGCTGAGAATGATACCTACACCAGCTTGACCCGTGAGTGCTGCATCGGAGTCTCCCGAG